ATTGGCAACTGGCTTTCTCAAGGTTAGTTGAATTTTGTGGTCGTTAAACTCTCTCCCACTTTCTCCCCCTACTTTCCTGCTCCTCCTCCAAGTTCTTTGTTCACTTTCACGGAAAGAACTCAACAACCTCAAAATGCGCAATAATTTTTGGCTGCCTGCACTTTGACTACACAGGAAAAATATTTCACGAATAAGGTATGACAATTAAATAATGTATTGACCTACTAATAATTTCGTTTAAACAAATAAATAAAAATCTCGTTTTTTAACTACATTGAGATGTATGGATCGCCTAAGAACAAAAAACTAAATTAAGGACTTATTTGATATATTTTAAATAAGCGAAATATTCAAGAAAATTAACAGTAGAATTACCATAGTTTATTTAGATTCCGCAAGTTCATTATGAAAACAAATTTACCAGAAATAAGTTTTAAAATATGACTGTTCTAAATTTTCTGTCGGTGTACCCAAAAAATCAGAAGCACTGTTTCCAGCTCTTGTTTGGCTAATTAAAAAATGTTAGCTGCCACAAAAAAAGGCAGAAATCAAAAGCACAGTCAGAAATGGCAAGAAACAAATGCTAATGAGTGCAGTCACTCTGAATGATTGCAAAAAGCGAGGGGCTAGAGGGTAGCTTTTAAAAATAGGGGAATGACGACAATGAGGGCGGGCAAATGTTTTATAACACTTGTACTCAACCTCAGGCAGAACAAAGCTAACAAGATCAAGGCGCTCTTCAAACAATAACCACAAATCGTACACATATAAATACGCGATGTATAGTATTAATGGTCTGGCTTTATCAGGTGAATTGGGTGTGCAGGCACCGTGGTGCGATAAGCGTCACGTCTTAATCACATGAATGGATATATATTATTCCCCCAATTCGTTTCCCCATTATGTCCACATCGCATCAGAGATGTCCAGCGAGGTGTGCCATATTTGGGTTATAGTCTGATAGTCGCGAACAAAGGCGAAGTGGTCTGAAGTTCAGTGTGTCGCCCTTGACTGGAAATCGCTTTCAGTTTACCATGAGAAAGTGCAGTTCTTATCATAAACAGCCACATTATTTATTCAATGTTGATGTGTACATCCTTTTTAAGTTGAGTCGAGAGAGATTGCTTTCTGCTGATCATAAGATTTATACGTTCTAGCATTCTATCTTAACTTTATTGTCTCGAATGTATAGACATTTAAAATTCTGGGTTGAAAATGTGAAATTTACTCAATTCGGACTTCCCTTTATCGAAAAGTCTATAAACAAAATCTTTTTTTTTATTTTTATACTTATTTTGGTGACAGCTTAAGAAATATTTTATCTAAATAAACATAAAATATCACGTTTATGAAATCATTATCAAAACTTTATAAGCTTGCTGCTCACCTAACATACCATTATCACTTATTTCCAGCAATCACTAAAATATGACACACAAATAATGCTCTATGATTAAGTCGCATTCCTAGAATTTGTTTGCCAGGAAATTCTGTAGAAGTCAACGCCTTTAGGTAATTACCAAGAACTACAATTTAATTAAGCGCATAAATTGAAATAATTTCGCCAATAAGTCACCGTGCTCGTTAGTCCGAAATCAAATTTCACGAACCTCTAAAAAAAATTATTCGAAGCGAAATGGAAATCCAGCGGGCCATAAAAGTTAATGGAAATCGGTGGAAATAAGGGCAGAAAGGCCACGTGGCGAAAAAATAACAAAATTAATTGCATGCTTCGTGCTAAATTCTTTCATTCAAATAACGAACACCGACTCGAAAAAAGACCATTAAATGCAGTCGACTGGTCAGCCCGAAAACACGCTATATAATTATACGATTGGCCATATAATGAAAACCATATACATTTAATGCATACACATATACGTGTATTAGCGTATTAAATTAGAAGCAGTCAAAGGAAAAAAGCCTTGCATGACATGAAGGCATTTTCAATGCAATACTTCTGATGGAGCCCCAACCTTTTTCAAGTTTTTTGCTGCCTGCTATCCAAATGTGTATTCAGGCCAAGTCCTTGCGGCTCATTTAACAACTCTTTCCACTTTCCCAGTCTGTATTACCTTTTTTGTTAATTAATTTCTGTGTACTTGGCAAACAAAAAAAAGCAACTCCTGACGAGGTCAACGACTACATTACCAGCCTCGGGTCGTAAAAAGCCATACGTATACGAAAATTAAATTGTGCATGTCTGGCTCGGGACTAAACCTCATTTCAGGAGGACATTAAATTCCTGCAGGAGTTTGAGTGTGTGTGAGTGTGTGTAGAACACTAGTGTTCTAGAGTGGCATTTTGCTCTGACATCTTCATTGTCAAGTGGGGCACTTGGCTTGGTCCCACCCGGCGGATGTGTGATGTGATGTGTTGACTGTTTTCGGGCTTGGCTTCAACGAATCTTTGCTTAAACGTTTTATTTGTTCACTTAATTGGTTCAGATTTATTTGCCGTTTTGGTCTTCACAATTTGCATTTTGCGTTAAATTCTTTTTATAACCATGACTTGGCAGTTTGTTTATCAAAAGTGTTTACGTAAAGTTTTTTTTTTCCTTTTTACTTCTGCTATTGCCCCCCCCAAAAAAAATGTTGTGGGATTCTTTTTTTATCAGCAAGAGTCAATAACTGATTGTGGCGTCGAAAAAAAAAGAAATAACGAAAAAGACAAAAAGCAAGTGAAATAGAACAAAATACATTCGATTCTTAAAAATAGACCGACCAGACTTATTTTTCGTTGGACTTTTAGCTTTGTTTACGTGTCGTTTGGAACTTTGCTGCTATTTCAATCCAGCATATAGATCCCCCATAGAGCCCACTCTCAATTATTACGCCTGGGGTAAACAAAGTCGTACGATGGATGCGTCAGCACTCAATTTGGTTAATCACAAACACGCTGCCAAAGTACACTTGATAATGACAATTATGAAAGTAACACCTCTCTTCAGGTGACCCGCCCACCTTGTGTGTGAGTTTGTCACGCACCAAAGCCGGAAAATCCACCGCCCACTTGCCAGCTTAATACCCAAAGAAATGCCAGACACTTTGATGCATTATATCCCCCGGTAAAAGCGAATGAGGAGCCCAAACACTTCGATTCACCCGAAAGGCACTTTCCAGAAGCGAGACAAAAGAATAAGCTGTATACTCCATTTAATTTTATATGCCAGAGGTAAACAGAGAAAAATCAGAACGGATTTTCCGCTGACTGTCACCGGAAGAAAAACCAAAATTGATTAGTAAACACCAAATTGAGGCAATCATGTTGACTAAAAAAATCAATTACGTGGAAATGTCAATAAACTTAATGTTTTCATCAAGAAATGATTACAGTCGTATTCACTCTTCAAATTCAGCCAATAGCTTATTGATAGAAAAGAATTCCTTAAGAACGGATGTTGATATCTATAAATTGGCAGAAAAACCTCGAAGTCGTTCAAAGAATTATCGAAATAATAAATTGCCAGGCAACAAACTATTCCGATTTACGATCTGGTTAATTTTAGTTATGGTTTTCCATTTTTTCTCCCCACTTGCACCTAATTCTGTCCATCATTGCCATTGTTTTGCTTGAGCTGTCTCACCCTGCACAGCCCCTGTTCCAAGAAATAAAAAAGAACTCTCGACGAGTCAAGTGTTTCTCGTCTGATGCCTTCTGTCTTTTGTTAATTTTGTTTCTCCCGCTGCTCTGGTACTTGAAGCATTTTGTTTGATGGATTTCTAAGTGCGTAAATCGTTGTGATTTTTTTGCTTTATTTAAAAAAAAAAAATAGAAAAAACTATTTTCGTTGAGGCACCAAGAGAGCAACAACAAAATTGTCTCTGGGAAAATGAAAATGATTAATTAGCTGTTCTTGGTGGGTATTCTTGGTTTCAATATTTCTTCTGTGTGTCTCCTAAGTGAAGGGGAAAATCCTCGTGAGCTCAAGTGACTGACTCAGCGCCTCAATAATTCATTAAAAAAGCGCTTGCACGGAATTTTATTTCGGGTGCGGAAAGAGTTGAGCTGGCAGCGCGTGCCGTAGTTCACGTCTCCCATCAGATAGAATTTGGGCCGCTCCCTCGGCCAAGGTTTATTTACTTTGAATTTGCTCTATACAAATTTCACAATTGGGTCCTTGGCCCGCCTATGCCAGTGCCATTTGTCGAGCTGAACACACACAATTAGAGTAACAAGTTGACATTCGTGGGAGGAAGTAATGGCGGCAATACGCACACGCCGCATGGGCTTGGCGGGTTAAGTGTGGGCGGTTTTGCTGAGCAAAACTTGTTGCGTCGCCATTGGGTTCCCCATTTCGCCTGACGTCAGCAAATGGGGTCTATTGAGCCTTGCCATTTTCGGCCCAGCCCTTTATTGATTTTTCAATTCCCCCCACATTGCAGTCGATTCGAAAAGGATTGCTGTTGCACTGATAACAATTTCAAGGTGATTGGGGAAACATAGTTCAAAGAAATAAGAAATATTATTTGGAAAACAAATATGTCATTTCTTAAAAGTAGCGAACAAAAATCTGGCTTTATTTGAACAATTGGCAAGAAATGTATTCGTGTAAATGTAATGGAATTACAATCGAAAAAGTTAAGCGCTTTGGTCCGATCACCCGTCCTTATGGTAACTTAAAAGAAGTTTCTAAACTATTGATTTCTATACGATTTCTTAGTTATAAACCTAATTTAGCTTACTGACAGGTCCCGAAAAAGGTTGATTAACTTTTAAGTACATACTAATTTTCGGTTAGAAAAATATACTACTGCTAAAATTGTAAAATAGTATTTAAAAACCATTTTTCGAACAAATGAAAAAAATTGTTAAGGACTGTATCAATTAAATAAAAAAAAAGTGGTGACAAAAATAACAAAAGATAAGGCTGACACCAAATATATAAGAAATTAAGGTACTTTAAAAAATGTTAATACATAATTCCTTCAGTCAATTTACCGGGACTTTATAATAAGTTTTTTCCGACAATCCCAACAGTGATTAACGGTAAGACTCACCTTTCTCCAGGCTGGCATTGCAGAACTTGAGGGCGTCGTCGAGAAGGTTGAGGTGCATGCAGCTGCTGGCCTTCTCGCTGATCTTCTTGGCCTGAAGATCCGGACCCCACCACTTTTCCACCAACCGACGGACCAGAACGTCCGGCATGAACTTCATGGCCGAGGAGCCACTGCCTCCGCCGTGAACAGAGGGATAGCCACTCAATCCCAAGGCAGCTGCCGCCGAGGTGGATGCCATGGTGGTGGTGGCCGTGGCCGTTGTAGATGCCACCGTGGTGGTGGTCACTGTCATGGGTGGTGCGGCCAAGCGATGGACACTGGACGCCAGTTGGACCCCATAGCCCACGTTGACGCTCATCAGGCTGAGGTTCGCGTTGTGATTGGAGGGTGCCGTAAAAAAGCTGGATCCCGCTCCACTTGCAGTGGTTGAGGTCAGGGCACAGCCCGGTGTACCTGGCGTACCTGGCGAGGAGTAGGAGTCGTGGATGCGGGGAAATCGCACCTGGCAGATGTTGCACTGCGTGATCGTCTCACAGCATTGCCGGCAGAAGGTGTGGCCACAGTTGGTGGTCACCGGACAGCGCAGTATGTCGCCGCAAAGGGGGCACAACAGCGGATCGTACTCTTCCCAGTCCTGCAGCGGACTTGGCACTCTCAGTTCTCGCGTTGGCGAGTGGAGATCCAGGGGCGATGGACTGGATTCAGCCACTCCTCTCAGGAACTCCGCCTGATCGGTCTGATTTTGTTTGCCCTGATGGTGATACCTCGACCAGGGCATCATGTCCGGTCTTTCCGATACTCTGGGGCTCTTCACAGTGGCGGGCGTGGCAATGCCGCCCATTTTCCGGATGTGGGAGGTCAGTGCGCTGGCCAGCGTATCTAGTTTGTCCAGCGGGACATGGCCGTCCAACAGTCTGCTGGCTATTAGTTCGTAGACATCGAAGGACTTTGAGAGACTGCCCACCTTGGCAAAGGATTCGCCCAGCAAATAGGAGAGGTGCAGCGAGTTCTGGCTCTCGTCGTTGGGCAGGTAACACACTGCCGCTGCTGGGCTGCTGGGCTGGAGGAGGTGTCCATGCTGATCCTGCTGCTCCTGGCGGAGCACCTTCATCGCACGCTTCTTGGCGCCCAGCGAGGGCTTCAAGCAGTAGCCCTGCGATAGAGGCATTTTCGCCTGGTAAACTATTAATTCGTGATCCCCGCGGCTAGTATTTGTATTATTTTCGTAGCTGCCTGCAGTCACGTATGCAACAGTCTGCGTTGCCCCGGGGTAAATCTATCTTGCAGATACAATATCTATATCTCACATCACTACACTTCACTTTCGTTCACTTGCACTTTGCGCACACAACAGCTTTCTAGATTTGTATTTGTATTTTGAATTTTATTTATATTTTAGCTTTAATTTTCATTTACTTATTTCCATTTTATTTGCCATCAATTAATCTTTTGCGTGCTCTGCTTTTGGCTGTTTTAGTTGAAGTGAAGAAGAAGTTTTGACAACAGCAGCAGCAAGGCATAGGCATCTGAAAAAAACACTGAGAACAAAGAGAATATGAGTTGGATTCTGATTTTGATTCCGGGAGAAATTCACATACACATAGAGGAAATAAAGAGAGAGCGAGAAAGATAGGGGAGAATGTGAAGTAAGCGGAACAAGAAGAAGATAGGGGCTTTACGTAATGCTCAAAAAAAAAATAGCAAAAATAAGAAAAATAAAGCGAGCAGCCAAAGAAAAAACTGATTCTCAGAGGCAGCTTTTGATGTTCCGTTTTTTTTTTTGGTTTTTTTTATAATTCCAAACCCGCACACACTTAAATCGGAGAGAGAACCCTCGCTCTTTTGATATCCCGCGCTCTTTGATTGCTGGGTGGCCGGAGCGAAGAAGAAGAACTGTATCTATTACTTAACCACTGGAGAATGTCAGATATCTCGCATACCAAATGCACTTCTCGCACCACCTCAGAAAGCGATGACGTGACATTTGTCGCCTTAGCACAAAGCTAATTGCCATTCATAGCTCTTATATAAAATGGCTGGAAAAAACTGGAGGGTTCAATGAACTTTCTCAAATCCCCTAGAAGCCTTAGGAGAGCCTTTCAATTTCCACTGAGCCCTTACAAATAATATTACTATATTATTGCCGTTAAGGTAGGGCATAGAATATAATCGCAACCAGACGGCGACACATGCTATTACATAATATTATGAAAATTAACACTGAATCACTTAGAGCGAACTGATGCGGACGCTGGCTAAAGTAACGAAATCAAAACACAGATACTTTAATACTAATACCCAAACAAATATACCCGCTCTTAGATTCGCTCTTTAGTTCTCTTCGAGAACTCTGGCTCAATGTGTTTGTGAGACACGAAACACAGGAGAGTCTGTTTTTGTTTTTGTTTGATTTTTGTTTTTTTATTTTTTTTGTATTTTCGATTTTGCGCACGTTTTGCTTTTGACGTCGTTCGTATTGTATCTTTAAGATAAACAATGCCGGCATAACACACAGATACAAATACACGCCGCCAAACACACTCACACATTTGGAGTTCGGTTTTGTCTTTGCCTTCGCATTCTGGTTTTGTTATGTAAACAATTTTTTGGTTGTCGTCCGCCGGCATCAAGATCTCTATGCTTTTCATTGCTTTTTTTTTTTGTTTGTATAATTTGTTTACATTTGCAAAGGCAATCAAAGTGTGCCAAAATAAAATGAAACTACAAAATTTGCGGGCAAATGAAATTGTAGTTTTTCTTAGGAAAAATATAAACGCAAGCAGAGACTCGCTCACATTTTGATATCAAACAATTTTTGTTTTTGCAGAAATCTCGTTGTTAAGTAATGCCGAAAATTCTTATAAGTTGGTAGTTAGCCAAGAAAATGAATTTATCAAGGGTGTGTTTATATGTCCCCAGATATACGATCTACATTAGACTTTTTGATCGAGTCGGCGACCCAAAAAAATATAATGAAAGACGCATGTTATATTCGGAATAGAATTTCGGCTGCCGGTTACATAAGACCTGGGGAAGTTTTGTGGGTTAGAATTATCAGTCCTTATATTTAACTTTTTTTTATTTTAATTTACAATTATATACTATTCTACAAAGCTATTCCAACTATAAGAATTATGATATAGTCGGCAATAAATTATCTAAAATATATTTGAAAAAGTTGTGAATATTAACTATTTATTTACCCTAACATATTTTAAAAAACCTTGTCTATGCCTGCTAAGTTAATATCGATTTTTAATCACTTGAGAAAACGAACTATTGGTAAGTTTAAGAATAACATCACACAAGCTTCGACTCGGGTCTGAAACCATTTAAATTTGTATATAAACAGTGAGGTAGTGTACGATCGTGTGTGCGATCGGGGATTCCAGCTATATCAGTTATCATTGTGAAACAATGTGCGAGGAAATAGTTAGTAAACAAGCTTTCAGGCACTCGATTCTAATTGTTGCCGTGACCGTTGATAGTTTAGGTTTTGCTTTGCGTAAGTGAAAATTATGTATACGACTCATATAACTACTCGTGTATCCAACTGGAATCGTGTACGTAAAGCCGTGGGCATTGCATAAACCGCAACCGATAAGCGTTCCTAAATGAACTGCAAATATGTGGAGCCCGGTTGTGTGAACACGCCCTCAGGGCAAGTGCTCGTAGATTGCTTTATATTTTACCATATTATGCAATGTCAATCATGAGCGACGACTGACTGGCTTTTTATCAACAACGTCCATCGCCAGTTAGACAAAATGGCAGCGGTGACAATTTGATGATCGTTATAACAACTATTGTTGGTATTCTAAGTCAACTGAATGCAGGCATTGTTTGCTTTAAATCTGATAAGTAATTGTAAGCAAACGTTGATTGTAGTTGATAAAGGAACTAATAACACTAAATTTGATATATTCATTGAGTGATGGTGAAAATAATTGTTTGCTATTTGATTTCTTGATCTGATTTAAATCGAAAGTTCCCCCAACTAAATAAATTGTTGCATTTGTTTAACAATCCAATGTTTTTTTAAACTAAAGAAACATATTTTTATTACTTGAACCAATTGTTTTAGTTTAATTTTTAGCTTATTAAAATTTTTCGAGTCAAGAGATACAAAATTAAAAGTAATTAGTAATTTAATAAAATAATCACGTGTATAATTAGATTATCGTCTGACACAAACGTTCTAAAGACATATTATTCTTGAATCCACTGGGTTTCTGTTAGAGTTCTTTAATCTTCAACACATCAACCCACAAAACACTTGCATAATAATGTGAGCTATAAATTGATTATGCTCCGATGGTAATTCTCCCCGTAATTATGAAATCATACCCGTAGTTATGAAATCACATAAATTTTCATTGCCTTGATGTTGGCGTATTCGTTTTCGTATATTTTGATTTCTTCTTTGATATTTGTTTTATTGGTTTCTCATTTGTTTTGCGTTTTTTGCTTGGCTCACACGTTTTATGACATTATATTTGGACGGACGACAATGACGACGATGATAAACACTCGTAAAAATAGCCTAAAACTACAACAAAAACCAGGGTAAAGAATTTATTGAGGCAAGCCAATTAGTAACAACAATTTCTAGTTTGTGATTTTTCAGTTTTGATTTCACTCGGATTACACAAGAACCCACTTACTCGCTGACTAATTGGCCCTGTCCCTTTGGCCTTACATAATGTTAGTGCTTGATTTTGTTTATATAACAGCGATCTGTCTGGCTTCCTCGATATTCGACTCTGACTCATGACGAACCTTTTTACCCGATGACGTATGCAAATAGGTTTTTCCTCTTTCGAGCTAACCATTTTTTGTACCCCGCCAGCGCTATTCGTTTTGGGCCAAGTGGGCGAACTGACTGAACGGCGCGCTGTGTTGTTGTGGCTCGTTCATTGGCAGCAGCAAACGTCGCATAATAATACTTGTATATTGCGTGTCGTAACGCTAAACGACAACTGGGCGAGAGGGGGGCATACATGGGAGAAGCAGAAAAAGGGAAAAGGAGCCAACTTATCTGGGTGGTGACCCTCGACAAATTTAGTAGATAATCTCAGATTGCGAACTGTAAACTAGAAAATTAAGAAAAACGATGAGTAATCCTCAGAGCCGATGGAAATGTTATCATGTTTAAGTTCTTGGAACTTAAAAAAATGCATCACCTTCAAGCTTTAATTTTATGTAATAATATTTTTATAAGGAGATGTTAAAAACACTTTTTTGATTGTGTAATATTGTACTATAAAAGAAACCAAACTTCGTGTTATTTTAGCATTACGTTGAACTGCTTTAAGTAAAATGTTGGTTAATTTTGCAATTAATACATTTTCTGATATTTTTGTCCTTATATTCCTCTAAGCACTTAGAATTTAAATTTGCCATACTATCGAATGCATTAGAAGATTGCCTAATCGGCCTAAAAAGAAAAGTCCTTTGTGTGGCTGGCTATCAGTGCAAAATTATCATGAAATCAATTATTATATATAATTTTTTCTGCGAAAGTTTTATCACACATTAAATATAAATAATTATCAAATGCAGGGCGAATTCAATTGGCCACAGCCACAGAAGCAGAACGTCAACAAAACGGCGCAAAAAAACGCTTAGTAATGCCTTTAAAAATATGGCAACACGTAAGAGCCATCTCCCCCCATTATCCGCGCAACCCGTAACTGCACTCTTTGTTTTTACAATCAGCAGATAGCAAATGGAAAACAGTTTTTCCCCACCAAAAGAGAGGTAGAGCGGGAAAACTAAGAGAAAGACTTTAACGTGCAAATCTTTGAAAATGCAACTTTGTTGAGCGTTCATTCACATTGGACACACATACAAAACCAAAATTTAACACACACAGATAAAAAGCATGCGTTGTGATGTCGTAACACACACAAAGAGTGAAAAAAGAGGCCCGAAAGAGAATAAAACACTTAAAGAGTGTGGGAAATTTGAATTTACCTGTCGCTGTTGAACCGCGCCTCCTTGTTTTTCCCCAAAAAGGGGTGGTTTTTCTGCGGGGTGTGGGGGTGGGCTGTTGCTCGAGAATCACTCACACACACACTCACAATCACGAAACTCTCCCTCTTCTTCTTTCAATTTATTTCAAATTTGTTGTATATTTTTGTATTAATTTTTTTTTTTGTTGGCCAAAAATTTATGGCCACACGCGTGCGAAAAAACGAATTGGGAAATATATTTTCTCGTGTTATGTGTTGTTGTTTTCTTTATATATATATAAATTTTTTTTCGTTTTGTAAGAACTTGAAACGGCGCTTGTCCGTCGACTTTACGTAACCCCGCCGCACACACGGGTTAATTTTTTTTGTGAAAAGGGTGCGCGGCAATTTGGGGTGTGCTGCACTTGGACCCCCTTTAATATTTTGTGACTAATTTATTTATTTTACTTTTCTACACTGAGGAACGCGCGAACGAGCGCCTTTATTTTATTTTATTTATTTCTTTGATTACGTTGGCGTTTGTTTTGTAATACGCTTACGTTACGCGACGAGAAAGAGAGAGGGGGTGAAAGAGACAGCGACGGCAGCGGCGGCAACGTGTTCGAGTGTTTTGGCGTTGATTTGCTTATGGGGTGCGCTCCACTTTGTTGCTTTTTATTTGCCGTTTTTATTATTCTTTTTATTTTGTATAATTTTTGTATTACTTGGCCTTTTATTTGTGTTTTCTCTGGCTGTATTTCGAACGCCTCTCTGCTGTCTGAACCTGCCACGGCCGCTGTTCGACAGAAAATGAAAGGTTTGAAAAGCTAGTCGCTCGCTTGGAGCGCAAATGGGGGTTCTCTTTGGCGACCGAAGAGAGTGTGATATACTCGAATATTATGTCACTGGGGGCTGGTGCTCTTACGCCTCTGTTGCGTCATCAATTGCTGGGGCACACGTTCTCTTCGGGCGGCATCTCTCGCGTGTTTTTTTGTTTTTGAAAAATTTGCCGGCAAAACGTCAACTGTCAAAACAGGCGACGCCAACTAAAATGATGGGCACGCGGGGGTGAGGAGGGTGGCTTAAGCTATAGTTTTCAGGGTGGTGCGGGTGAGGTGGGTTGTGCTAGTTTGCCAGTGGGCGTCATTTATCGTATGATGCGCATTTCCGGCGCCGCTCAACAGACAACAGCAATACAAGCACTAGCAACATCAATAATGACAAAAAGTACATACGATTTTGAATAAAACACAGATACAAGATTAAAAATTAATATAGTTTGAATTCCAATTTCACAGTTAATTATATTTTGTGAAAATATTTAAATGAATTTAATTTTTGATATCAAAACAAATAATTAAAATTAAAAGTACAGTAAAAAAAGAATAATTATCCATTTGATAAAGATTATATTTAAGGGGCACTTGGTTCCAACCAAAGAACTAGTAAGTACAAAATGAATTGCTTATACTGTAAAATGCTTTAAAGTGCTTATATTATGAATTAATAATATTCATTACAAAATAAAATAAATATTTTCCAGTTGTTAAGAAAAAGTTGTAATTTAAAAAATGCTAAAAAATATTTTAAATATTAATATTATAAAATAACAATTCTTATAATCTTAGACAATAAATACTAAAAATATTATTAATAAATTTATTCTTATAACGAAAATGCAAAAAGTATAAAAAAAAGGATTTAATAACACCTAACAACTGAAATTAGGTTTCAAATTATTTACTTATAGTTTAAAATTTTTGTGTATCCGGTATAGATCAGATATACAGATGTTTGACTGTAATCGAATTTCTGCGTTTCATAAGTGTTGTGTCGCTTTTACATATTGTTTTGTCATTTAACGCAAATTACGTATACGACGCGTTGACCTCATTTGGGTTGATCAACAAATGCAGTTGTCGACAAACTTGGCTCAAACCAACCGCCTGTCTCTCTTTGTCTTCCTCTTTTGGCTTCGCTTGACTTGTATTTCAAGCTCAAGTTCAACGTTGTCTGTTAGCGGTTGCCTGCATACTACCAGTTTTCATGCTGCTGGTTGCTTGCCATTAACATTTTGAGTGGCCGTTGTTGTTAACTCATTTTTCGCTTTCGTAAGTCTTGGCCAGTATAAAAATATGCGCGGCAAGCGAGAGGAACCCGCATATGTTTGAGCATTGCTCGCATTTATTGCAACATTTCCCCATGGGGAAGTAATCGAATCGTTTCGCCTCAGATCTGGGTTTGGTTTAAATTGTACAGCGAAAAAAGAGTCGTTATATCAGGTCCAAATTATCATATATTTTTACTGATAAAAACTAAAATTTTGTGATTATTGATTATCCCTTCGAGTTAAGGGTAAAATTAGGCACTCCGAAAACACATCAACAAATAACTATTTAAAAAGTTTGTCTTAAATCAAGCTTTATTAGATGAAAATATAGCATTCACAATTAGTTACTAATAAAAAGAAAACTTTTTTTCTGTGTACTGGTTATGCAGCTCCCATTTCTCAAATAGTTGCTGTTGCTTTTGTTGTTAGTCAACGGAAATTAGCTGTGAGTTTCATGTTTGAGATGTTTATTTTGTAAGCAATATATGAGGAAATTAGCTTTAAGGTTTTTTTTCGTTGGTTTGTTATGTTTTTTGCATAATGGAAGTATTTCGGCGTTTTGGGATTGGGTTCGGCTCTATTAATAGCTTGGTAATGACTGTGAATTGAAGTCGGGCCAGACTCTTTTGTGGTCAATTAGGATTGTGGATTGGGTTTGATTTGCATCGATTATTACAAGGTATTTCTGGCTCTTAACATGTTTTTATTACTAAATAGCAGACCGATCATTGAAACTAATTTAGCATATTTTTGTAAATTATAAAAATTTAATTATTATTACTTAACAAATATCGTTTACTATTTAGAGTGGTAGCTATCAGTTATTCAATTGTTAAGCAAATTTACAATTGTAGGCTTACGTTCTTGCAGCTTTATTTATACAAAATGTCACTTACAGCCAACTGTTTCGCAGCTCATATCATATCCAGTTCCTATTTTTACATCCTCTTTCCACTCACCAATTACGCAATCAACTTGACCTCCAGTTCCTCAAAGAAATATATTCCAGCTGCTTTGAAGGCCAACAACTTAACCATGATGACGCTGCCGCAAAGTACGCTACATAACCAAGTCGAAAAACTTACCTGTTGGGTATACTACAAAATCCGCAACGCAATTAAAACAATTTTCAAAAATAATTTTTTTTTCATTTATCGTTTCAAAATTTGTATCTAAACCTTTATTGTTTGTTCTTTTTTGCAGTTTCTCATAAAAACAAATTTACTCGCTTTGCCTTAATCTCACTTCTTACCTCTTGAAGTTTCTACGAATTGTTTTAGTTTCGATTTTTAAATCATAGCTCATAACAGAAACATAACTTTCTTATTACAATAACAAAATCTGTAAAAACTTAGATAGAAGGTTTTGGAACTTAAGCTTAATTAGGCTGAGTGTAAAATAATTAACGATTGACTTCAGTAAAGTTAATAAATTATAGCTAATATCTGCAGCATCTCGAGCACTTGTCTTGGAATTTCTTTAGGTTTTCTCTTTTGTTTTTTGTAATTTTTATTTTGGTTTTGTATATATATCTAGGTACATGTTAGTGTCCTTGCTTAGGCTTTCATCTTTACGTTTTAGTTTAAATTTGGTTTTCTTTCGTATTTCTTTTTTGTTTTGCATGCTGCCAACAACAATTAGGCTGAGTTTTTTGTGGATTTCTTTTAGCATTGCTCTTATGCCTTAAGCTGATTTTTTACTAATTATTTTAAGTACCAAATGAAGTTTGTTTTGCCTTCTTTCAGGCATTTAGTTAAGCTGATCTAGCTTCCGTTTAAGCCTCAACTTAAGCTATGGTAGCCTTGTGTTATTTATGAATTTTCCTTCAGCTTTCTTTTGCTTTTCATATATAAAATTATTTGCATTTCGTTTCATTTTGCAAAATTCTCAAAATATAAGTAAAGGCTCTAAAACGCTTTGTTAAGTTTTTTTTTTAGTTTGGTTTTATTTAATTAATTTAGCTTGATTTTTTGCAACAACTAACAATTTTTTGGGTTTTTATCCATTTTTTTATCTTACTACAATTAAATATTTTTGTTTGTGGATTTTTGCCGGGGCCTTTTATTGATTTTAAAATTCAACAACATTTTTGTCTTTAATAATATGTAAGAATATATTTTTATGTATATATATGTATATATAAGTTATGTATATGTGTATAATATTATGTATATAATAGCATTTAATATGTTTTGCATTGCCATTCGATTCGCGACGCCATTTCCGTTTACGCTACGCTCCTTGTTTTGATCTCTTAACCACTTAAAACACTCAGCTCTTTCCCGATACTTAAATACTTAAATTATCGCTTTGCTAATTTCTCGTTTTTGTTTGTTTATTTTTGCTTTGCACTGCAACAATTTGTGTCTTTAGTTACTATTTTTAACCCTGCCTAACGATCGCCTTCCCTTGCCCGTTTGCTATTTAGTTGAGTGTACTATATGCATACAACTAATATCTGTATAAGTTAGATATAAAAATCGTCAACTACGAATTTATCTACAAAATTTATTCGCTTGTTTTGTTTGTAGCATGCGTAATTCATTTAACTAATTCTTTTTGTATATAATAAATATATTTTAATGTTTATTGTATATTAAACATAATTTCGTTAGTTTTCATATTTGTTTTTAAACGTTTCATACTTTTCAGTTTTATCGTCTTCTGTTGTTGCTACAAAGTCTACATTTTGTTACGGAACATTCTTATTCGAAAATCTGGGTTTTCTTTTTTAAACTCAACCAAAATATGTAAATAAAAAACATCTACAACAAACTCGTTGCCGAAATTCTGAATTAATATCCTTGCCCTGGAAAACTTTGCTTGCTTTTGGCCTGGGAAAACTATGGCCCGAAAGTAGGCTATAGAAATCGCATCCTCCCCTGGCTGCTGCGTGAGTGTGGGTGTGTTTATATGTCATATGATAAATAATTCATATATTATCAGTGGCGGTTTTTTATTCCGGTTTTTATTTAACAATTCTCTACATAAACCAAAAATTGTCTACAAAAATTCAACTACAAACTACGGAAAACAATAGTTATTAAAAATATACAAAACTACGCTTAACTAAAGCTGTGTGGGGGAGGTCTACTGCTCATTCAACTAATGCCCAGGCCAATTAAATAAGCAAAATATCGCCCTAATTTGCTTTCACCTCTACGCGCAATTTATGTTACTTAGGTATAAATATTTTTATATAAATATAACATGATTTTTGTTTTACTTCTGGTTTGTTGTACAAATATGTAGCAATTGCTTGAATCTGCTTAGTCGTATAGTCCGCTATTTGAGTTATCCATAAATGTTAAGTTTATCGTATATACTTGTGTGAATTCATTCAACAACCGAAGCTCAAAAATTTTCATTTTGCAAAATGACACCCAACATTTTCCGTAGGTTTTTATTTTTAGTGTTATTTGTGGGATTCTTTCTTTATTTATTAACGTTATTTTGTGGTTGTTTTCTCTAGGTGGTCTCATAGCAGTGCAAAAGGCCTTTAGGTTAGATTTCTTTTTAGGGGAACAAATAAAAACAGGGAGGTGGCTGTTTATCTATATTGCTATGTAGATTACTATATTATTTGTGTATTTCTTGCATCTATCGTTAGGGTTAGTTTCGATTTTGGTTACGGCTTTAGGTATGTTTTTTTAACTCTGTCTTGAGATCCTTGTATGGTTTCT